GGAGAAGATAGTAATGGGAAACAATAATATATTAGACTTAAAGAAAAAATTAAAATTTTCTACTTGGAGGGAAAGAGATAGGAAAGAGAAGGGAGAGAGAGACAGAGACGGCTAACCTTTTTTTCTCAATAGAGAAGAGGCCAGCTGCATGCAATAAATCATACGTTCGTGGGTATGTATCAAATGGTTCACACCTGATACAAATAATTCGAATAAGTAACTTTTAAATTCATGGAACTTGTTTAGACAAAGAAAAACAGTTGGTAATGTACCAGTCATGCATAACTCCAATAAGTCCACGGTCATATATAACTGGTAAGGTGTTGGGGCCGCTAACAGGAACCACATTCATAACCCAAGTGTTCAAATTTTGTTCAATTAGTGCAGCTGCAAATCTGCCAACCAATTAAGAGACAATAAGCAATGAGAAAACCTTTGTTTAAAAAACAAAAAATAGAAGGCCGCTAGAACACAAGATAAATATGATACCCTCCAAAGCCAGCTCTCATGTCCATTGCATTTCTTAATCTAATCTTCTTCCAATGAAAAACACGAACATAACTTTCAATTATTTCATGCCAATATCTAGATTCTGCCCTGAAGAGCTCTTTTCTGGATATATAGGCATCAAATTGTATGCTCTGAAGCCTATCAGGGGGAGTTTGCAAACGGTCTGGCCATTTTGTGACATTTGCTCCATAACCATTTTCAGGGAGTCTTGTGATGCATGCCTTCAGATCAACATACCTGAACCACCACACAAAGAAGAAACCCTCACAAGAATTAGAAGCAAATCAATTACATCCACATGTGAAGCTCTTGTGAAATAATATGGTAGAGTTATCAGCACAAATAAACTTAAACTGTGAAATTAGAACTTCAGAGAAATGGTCTACATGTCAGAACCAACGAAAAAGAGTCCAACATTTTCAAAGCGTTCCTTGAAGGTTTATTGAAGGTTTATTCCAAAGTAATAACTCCAAACAAAAACATGCATAAATATGGTAGAGTTATCAGCACAAATAAACTTAAACTGTGAAATTAGAACTTCAGAGAAATGGTCTACATGTCAGAACCAAAGAAAAAGAGTCCAACATTTTCAAAGCGTTCCTTGAAGGTTTATTGAAGGTTTATTCCAAAGTAATATCTCCAAACAAAAACATGCATAGCCTTGTTGCAATGAAAATTGGTGAGGGAAAAACAGCTGGTGTATGCATTTGATTAATGTTGATGAATACGAAAACTCTAGATACCTGACTTGGATAATAAAATATTTTACTTGAATAAAATTATTAAATCATTATTCAAAGAAGGGAGTGGGAGAGAGACAAGAATCATAGATATACCAAACTTTGTCTGGGTCATCACTTGGATCACACAATGGAGGTTTGGTTCCTGGGTCCCGATTTAGATAGCAGCTGTTGTTTAAAGGCTTTTGCCATATTGCAATATAGCCATCCTTCTTCACAAACTCCCAGCAAAGGCGTGTGGTGAGGTTAAGCATTTCTGCAGAAGGAAAAATGAAAAAACAAATTTTATTGTTTCCCAGGTCCAGATATGATTACTAATCCAACATGTTCACAGACAGACAGCAGGTGGCCTCCATTAAACCAGTGATGCCAGCAAATAAAAAGTTAGCATACATGACGTTATAACACCGTTGCTCACACTTCTCTTATCAATTATTCACTTTCTCAAAACTGGAAACGCAGTCATACAGGCTCCCTAAAGGAAAGCTAGACAAGAAATTTTCATAAGCACAAAATAAGTTGTTTTTCTGGTTTGTCAGTGAATATAGGTCTTCAAGGAACAATTAAAGTTAAATATCTGGGATTCCCAGCCAAAAAGAAATTATAAGTTTCAATTCATCTTAAGTCAGAAAATGGTAATCCAAAGACTGCAGAACTTTCAAACACTAACTAGCAATCAATATTCAGACCCAAAAAAAAAAAAAAAAACTAGCAATCAATATACAAATTTTCAATTTCACCAAAAGAATGTTTTGCAGTAATACCTTGCCACTGCTCCTCTAGAACTTCTTCATGCTTATAAACTGGCTGTGCTGCCCAAACAAAGTATCCACCTGCCCTGAGCATCCTATTAACCTCGAGCAGCAATATCCCATCTTCAACACAAAAAAGTAAAAGAGGGTATATAAAACTACAATCAGAAGATACAGTAACCGTCACTAGAAAACAAAAAGTCCAATATAAGTTTTGCATACCATCACGAGTCCAATTAATCCTGCATCGTGAGCAATGTATCAAGTCAAATGCCTGGCTTGGGTACAACAAACGGTGAGTTGCAAATGCTGCTATCATTGCAGGCACCCCGCGCTCAAGAGCAAATTGAATCTGGTTCTCATGGACGTCCTTAGGTGCAATTGACATGGTAACTACATTTCGCGACAGCAGATACGCACCAAAACTTGCAACACCACATCCAACATCCAAAACAACTCGGATATGTTGACCAAAGGTGATGTCAGTGACCACCTGCGCGATGAAGGCTTTGACCATCAGATTATCAGAGAAACAAGATACAGCAATAACCCAAATACTCAAACTACCCACTTCACATTTCCCATTACATTGAATTGTAAACAACTTTAACCTTAGAAATATGATCCAAGTATTCATTTGCTCCATGTATAAACTGTGTACCACCTCCAGGAAACTTAAACTTGTTCTTCTGTCGTGTAATCCAGTTCTGACCCCCTTTATCTTCGACTAGACGAGTATGAGGTACATTGTTGAACCAAACCTGCAAGCCAATTTCATTAACAAAGTCCGAAAGATAAACGCTTTAATAATACAAGTAAACACAGGTAGAAAAAACTATTAACTTCATAAATGAAGCAAATACCTCGTCGCGGCTTTTAGGCCATGGAATTGGGCTCTTGTAATTCTTGGGCGGCGGAACCAAGCAATTCAAGCCCCGAGCGGGCTCTGGACAATGCCGCTCGAATCTCTCGCCATTCTTAGTCGATTTGAGCCTCTTAATGGCGTCCACATTATCCAAACACGGTATGTACTCGCTCATACTCTTCGGGCAGAGCTCGAACCTCTTAACACTAATCTTACCGGTGCCACTCGCTTCGCTCTCAGCCACCGACCCGTTCCCACTCCCCCAATTCTCCACCACCTCATCGGGATCGAAATCCCCGACCTCGAACTCGTCAGACATGGTGCCATTCTCGTCGACGATTCCGAATCTCTGAATCACATCGGGCGGAGGCGGCGGCGGCAGGGAAGGAGGCGATGGCGGTGGGGCTTGGGCTTGGGGGATGAGGGAGGAGAGATTGAAAGGCTTATTTTGATTGGGTGAGAGGGAGACGGTGGAAGGGGCTCGACGCGTTGTGGTGAAGAAGAGGAGCTGCTGGGACCCATCGGACCAGTGCTTGCCGAGGTAGAAGAAGGTGATTGAGACCATAGCAAAGCCAAAGACTTTCAGGATCAATGGGATTCTCAACCAATCGCCATTGTTTAAGATTGTCATGCTTTAATTCAGCGAAACTGGAAATGAAGAACGAAACAATGCGTTTTGATGGGTCGAGGAGGAGGGACCGGAATGGGGGTGCCGGGGAGTGAGAGAGTGAGAGGATCTGAGGTCGAGTGTTGTTGCTGAGAGAGAGATAAGCAAGAGAGAGAGACGATTGACTGCCTGCTAATGTCAAGGTCACCGACGGACTGAATATTAAAATATTTAGTGGAGGGAGTGAGAGATGGTTACACGTTGGCGCTAATTTTCCATGTAAGGTTGCGCTAAAAATCCAAACAAAAATGTAAAACATATTAATTTTTTATTTTCCTTTTATATAATTTTGCATATATAAAACTTTGGTTCATATAATTTTAAAATTTAAACAAATAATCCACACCAATTTACACTATTTGTTTTGATTTTCTTCCTTTTTTTCACACAAAAATATAATCAGTTTGAAAAATTATGGTGAACTGGCCCTTCATAGTTCGATTTTTAATTTTATTAATTTCAAGAGTGTTTTTAATTTTCTTATATTAATAATGAAGCACACTTGCGAGTCACATCAATGTATGTTGCCCAATTAAACTCTGCAAGAGTTCAGCCTTTGACACTCTAAATCTTCGTAATTTATGTGTTTGTAAAACGTGTGTTGGTTTGTAGGATGATTTTTGTCTATAATACATGTAAATGAAGAGACTTGGGCCTAATTTCATGTAATTAGGTTGCTAACCAAATTAATAAAAGATAAATTATGCTTACACCCCATTTTTGTCTCTCGACACTCTTGTTTATTTAGACACCTACTTATATTTCCTTAATTAGTTGAACACCCAAAACAAATTAATAATCTTCGAAAGATATCTCTAATTTTCCCACTTACTCAAACTATTTTCCTTTCTGTTATCTACATTGAAATTTAGAAGAAGATGACAAATGATGAGCTAATCTTCATCTATGATGATTTTGTAAGTTTTTGGACCATTTTATTTTGATTTTTGGCTTCGAAAAGGGTTGGTATCGACCATGTGCAATTTTTTTTAAAAATAATCAAATATTTATGAATTATTTGTGAATTGTAACGACATAACTTGATGATGTGTAATTTTCTATAATCGCAGCTTTATGAGTTGTGCGACTCACGTGTCGCAAATTCATAAATTATCAACATTAAAATCGAAATATTTTATTCAAAATCTTACTTTTTCTTCGTTAGAATTATCAGAAACACGACTAATTATTCCTGCATTGTATTTATTCCAGTCAATTTAAGTATATTTATGTCATATATGAATTAGGATTACAGGAAAAATGAGTGAGGTAGGAGTGAGTAAGTTAGATGAAGGGGTAAAGTGAGAGTAAAGCGTGAGGTTTAATGATATTTTGTGGGTGTAAAAAAAATTTACATTTTTATACAAGAGTCATCAAAACTATTTATTTTTCACGTCATGAAGTTGAAAATCCAAATAGAAGCCAGACGTACACGTCAACCAAATGGGAGCACTATAAACTTGAGTCCCAACCCACTTGTCCAAAGCGAAAGGACCCGCCTAACTCTTAACGAGTCCTAACCCCAAAAAAAACACCACAAACCCTCTCCGGCCTCCCCTCACAGTCTTCTCGAATCTTTATCTCTCCGGCAAAAGTATCATCTTCCCTTACAATTCACCACTCAAAACCCAAAATTAGGGTTTTAATTCGTCCATTTCTCCTACCAATCTACACAATTTGCATGCCATGCCGCGGCCACGCCTTGACCGCTTGGCTTTTTAGGGTTCCGCTTGAACTGGCCGATGCCGAATCACAAATCGTCCAGAGGGGCTCAATTGGGTGAAGCCATGTCGAATTCGAAGCCTGGGGTCGACCAGGAGTCGTGTTCGAGATCGATCAGCGAGACTGTCAATGGGTCTCACCGGTTCACGATAAAGGGGTATTCTTTGGCCAAAGGGATGGGTGCCGGAAAGTACATAATGAGCGACACGTTTACGGTGGGTGGCTACGATTGGGCAATTTACTTCTACCCCGACGGCAAAAACCCTGAGGATAGTTCCACGTACGTCTCCGTTTTCATTGCTTTGGTCAGTGAGGGTACGGATGTGAGGGCTTTGTTCGAGCTGACTTTGGTGGACCAGACCAAGAGTGGGAAGGACAAGGTGCATAGTCACTTTGATCGCGCGCTCGAGAGCGGGCCGTACACGTTGAAGTACAGAGGCAGCATGTGGTATGTGTTTCTGGGTTAATTGGTGGGTTTCGGTGCCTTAAGTTTCGATTTTGATTATTAAATTGAGTACCTTTTTGGTGAATTTTGGGTTAGGGATCGGTTTTAAGGTGGTAAGTTGTGGTGGAATGTTGATTTAGCAGCTTGGTAAGCAATTTGGTAATTGTGTTTTCTTAGTGTGTGTCTGTGCCCAATTATGTCTTGCACGCTACATTGGCTTGCTAATTGTTATATTGGTTGATTGTGGATCTTCCTGATATCCATGTTCCAATATGTGATTTGCTAGTGAATTATGGAGTGCTGAGTACTTAGTATATATTACATATACAAAAACGCACACATGTAAACATATTTTAGGGGCTTATGGCTTAAAGGTTAGAGCACTTCTGGAACATAGGTCGACATATCTCCAGGCTTAGACTCGCTTTGAATAAAAAGAAAAAACATATGTATTATACATAAAAATAAACAAAATTTTTTAAATTGATATACTTTTTTCAATTATATCAATGTTTAGACTGATCTTCAATTTGAATTTCCATGCAAATCTTGAGATGAACCATTCTACATCAGTTTTCTTTCACATTCATAATTAGTAAAACATAATATGAATTAAATATTAATCCAATAAACCACTTAGAAAATTAACTCAGCAAAAGAACAAAAACTGATTTAAGTTAGGATTTTATCTCCCTAAAAATGTACATCATTACGAAGAGATGATGATGATTGTAAGACTCCTTCTGTCTGGAGAATACTGATCATATAAAAGATTATTATTTTTAAAATCTAACATCTCATTTTCTATGTTTACTTATATAACTTAAAGTAATGTTGTGCTTTGCTGTGGAGCTTATTTATATAGGGATATCATTGGCTTATGAATGGAAAACTTGAAAAGGCGAAGATAAATATTGGAGAAATAACTAACAACCAAACCTACATTTAGATATTCAAATGTTGAAGATGTCCCTCTCTCCCCTCTCCCTCTATTTTGGTTGCCTAGGTGTGATCATGGAGTGCTTTTTTGGTGTGTTGTGTTAAGTATTGGGGTCGTACCATTTTAATGTGAAAAATTATGATCATAGGGCATCACATATTTACATGCATGTATATGGTAACACTGATATAATAAAAAAGAACTAGTATTTGGTTGGTTTAATTACAATAGAACAATTAGGTTTGCATGTCATGTTGCATTTAATAAGTTTATCAGATTTCTTTATAGATTGGCTGCAGTCTCTGTAACCTATTTCCTAATTTTTGGATAAGCTTATTTATTTTCATGTATTGGGAGCTTTTTCAAGTTGGAAGCTTTTGCACTGTGTCCATCATCATATTTTACTTCTGGGTACATTTCAGGGGTTACAAGAGATTTTTCAAAAGATCAGCCCTCGAAACTTCTGAGTTTCTAAGGGATGATTGCCTTGTATTGAACTGCACTGTTGGAGTTGTCAGAACTCGCCTTGAGCGACCAAAACAATTTTCAATTACTGTACCATCATCAGACATGGGTCGAGATCTTAAGGACTTTCTAGACTCTGAAGCTGGTTGTGACATAGTTTTTCAGGTTGGCGATGAACTGTTTAAAGCTCACAAGTTGATACTTGCTGCCCGTTCTCCTGTATTTAGAGCACAGTTTTTTGGACTTGTCGGGGATTGTAGCATAGATAAAGTAGTTGTGAAGGATGTTGAGCCCTTTATCTTCAAGGTAAGGCTTCATGATCTTCTTGCTTCCACTTATGACCATCTTAAATAAGAGAAAAGAATATATATTGCATGATACATGCATCAAGACTTCTGCACTTATAAGTCTCTCCATGGTATAATTGAAATTCACTTTTTACACTTGTATTAGTAGTAGAACAAATTCAGCATTGCCTCTTTATGAATTCAGTTATGAAATGAAAAAATAAGAAATCTTGGGATAGTAAAATTGGCTGGCAGATGCTAATTTTATCTGGTTAGCATTGTGTGCTTTCAAGACAAAGTACTAATGATAATAAGCAAAAGTTCTCATATAATGTAGAATTTGAAGCCTAAATATAAATAGGAAATGGAAAAGTAAACACTTCCAGGGGAAGGTGGGGTCTAAGTTTTCTTATGTTTTACCTATGTCCAGATTTTTGGTCTATGTTGTTCTACATTGATCACCATTGTACAATTTTCTAACACTCTAAACAAAATAATTAATTTTCTTACCTTGTTATCATGTTACCTTGCGCGTAGCTGTGAAACTCCAAAATTTTAAAGATGTCCTCGTGCAATGTAGTAATGTTTCAGAACCCAAATTTTCTATTTAAAGTCGTTAAGTTCTCATAAATGAGATAATGCATCTTTAGTATAAGAGTTATCTTAAGTTTCTGTGCATCACACAGATTGAAGTTTGTGCAAGTTGTGTATCTATGAAAATCCAATGGTTCTTTTCTGTGTCTGTTTGTCTGGGGCTTTCATTTGCTCGGTTAAGGTTTCTGGTGATTATTGTTGATGTGGTCGATTATCAATTATAATCAAATATGAATTTAAAGTAGCCTATGGTCTGTCTGCATTCGGATTGGACACATAATTAAGGGTATTTACGGGAGCTGATTGCATAGAAGTGATGCTCTGATTGTGAACTAGTTTGAGCTCGTTCCAGTTACCTGTAACCTTTAATATTATGCTGCTCCATTTGTCTATGTTGTGTTAGTTGAGGTTCAGAGTAGAAGTTTGTTTTCTGTCCTGTGGCCAATAAATTTACAGTGATAAATGAGTGTTTCTGCAAATTGCAATCCATATGCTTAGTTTGTGTATTCTGCTATTTTAAGCCTGTTTCATGACTTTAATGGGGATTTTATCCCTTTTTTCCCAGGCAATGCTTCTGTTTATTTACACGGACAAACTTCCTAATGTACACGAAGTTATGGGCTCATCACCATTGTGCACATTCACTGTCATGGTGCAGCATCTTTTGGCTGCTGCGGACCTGTATAATCTAGAACGACTGAAAGTATTGTGTGAATCAAAGTTATGTGAAGAAATCACTACTGAAACAGTTGCGACCACACTTGCTCTTGCTGAACAACATCACTGTCCGCAGCTCAAGGCTGTGTGCTTAAAATTTGCAGCAAATCCTGCAAACTTAGGAGGTGGGTGTTTTGCATAGATTCTGTTGGTGCACAGTTTCAGGTTGTATCAATTTTGCTTTTTTCTCCTTCTAAGTAGTCTCAAATAATCCTTGTTGCCTTATCATGCATGCCTGGCTCATCAAACATGCTGCAGTTGTCCTTATGATTGTCTATGGTTTCAGGAAGTCAATAAGGATGTTCCTTAAAATTTATGATATTACATCTGGGTCAGCCTATGGTGACACCTTGATATCTGGCTGATCGAGGGGCAGCATTTTGAGAATGGTATATTGGTTGGTTAATAATAACTACCATATTTGAATGGTCTCAACAGCTCTCAGTTCCTAGAAAGATGAACTTATATTAATTTCACATTAGTTGCTCATTGCCCCGTCGTTGAATGGTGGTTATTTTACTGGACTTTTTGGTTTAACTTTTCTTAGTGATGCATGGGATATGAATATGGACAAATTTTTTTATGGCAACATGAATTTATGTTACTACCTCTGGTCATATACTAATTTTCATGTGTTCATTCTCAAAGCTTGTATTTTCCACATCCACTGCTGCTGTGAAGTTATACATTTATCTCATCCTTCCGTAAAGGAATTCTTCCTCATTTACTTTGCATGCAACTGTTTTCATTTCGTGGTTCTTTGTGGTGTAAAATTGGATATTTGACCCAATGAATCCTCGTGTGTTTTGCAGCTGTGATGCAATCAGATGGGTACAAGCATCTAGAAGAGAGCTGCCCCTCAATGTTGCTGGAGTTGCTAGAGACATTTGCAGCAGTGGATGAGAGTTCAAGTCTTCTGTCAAGTAGGAAGAGGAGTGGCAGCAGCATATATGGGCTAGACTTGCCAGCAGATGGTGGCGGGGCTGTAGCAGAATCAGCAAATCCCAATGGAAGGCGTGTGAGGCGGCGGTATTAGTGTATGTAGTTAACTTTAGGCGCCACAAACCTGAAAGGAGTGGTCTTAGGAACAAAACGGTAGCTATGAATGGCATGCGGATAATAGTCACTTATCATTTCCCATTGTGTTGGACACTCCTTGTATAAAGTTTCGATGTCATTTCCTTTGTTATATCAGGTTTGGTGGGGGGGCTCTTTTGGAAGTGAACTGAGATTTGAATGTGTTACATTGTGCTTCATGTAGAATTTGTAGGTAGACTGTCATTTTGAATGGAATTATATTATTACAGAAATGGCTCTAAATATCTTGGGTCTGAGTGTTGAAGTTATCTTTCTTTTATTCAATTTTTGTTCTACATTTTGTTGAAATAACAAACAATTCCACGTTCCTTGTCTGATAAGGTCATCGCTAACACCCCATGTAAGATCTTTGGTTTACTGAGAGTTGTTATCCTTGGTTATTTTAAGTGGAAATTCTTTGTTATTGTGCACAGTTTTGATAGGATAGGGAACTAAGGTGGCTTTACTTGTTGAAAATGAATTCAATATTATATTTATTTCCGTAAATTTTTTCTTCCTCTTGAGTTCATTTGGGCTACTAAGGTGAATGCAATGCACTATTGTAATTGGAAACAAAATTCATCATTCAATTTAGGAAAAAAAAACTACTACCATATGGGATCCCGAGTCTCAGCATTTAGGTTTCGTGCTTTTACTCGCATTTAGTTTAATCTCAACCATTACAATAATCCAATGGTTAAAAATAAAGCCACATACCTTAATTTTAGTTGATCTTTTTTTATAAAAAATGATGACTAACTCCGTTACTTTACGACTTTTACTAGTACCTTGGCTCTCAATCCATCACCACACAACTGCATTCGTTCTTTTTTAATCGTCCGAGAAGTTTATTTCAATGGATCTGTGAGCCCGGAGCATCATATGTCTGGATAAAATTTGGTGTCGTTGGCTTTGTTTACTGGAAGTTGGGGGTTGGTTTCAACCAATTTTGATTTAATCCCAACTTCCCCATCTGTTTTCCAAATTATTTTTTTATCAGATTTTGTGTTTAAAAAACAATTCAGATTTGAGTGTCCCACCTCCATTAGCTTGTTGGGTTTAAGCATTGTGTCTCTTTCTTTCTCCTTTTTGTCATTGTTGAAGGTTTCTGGTCATTTTCGACCAAAAAAGAGAGTTCTGGGCACAAGTGGAAACTACAATACGAGGGTTGTGCAATGGGTTAATCAATTGCCTATTTTCCTGCCATTAGAAACATAGTTAATAGTCCATGTTTTCCTGTAAGTCGGAGGAATAAAAAGCAAAGAAACCAACAACAATTGAAGAAGAAGACAGCAAGCAGAAAAACCATTAACACCGTAAATAATATTAAAGTTAAGATAGCCGATGTCACTTGACTTTCAACCATTTGGATTTTTGTGATGGTTGAGATTAAACTAAATGTGAGTAAATGCACGAAATCTAAATGCAAAAGCTCGGGATCCCTAGGAGAAGATATGATATTATGCAGAATACATAAAAGATGCTTCATTTCAAAGTAGGTACCACAACAATTAGCAAGCTAGCTATTTGAACTTTTTTTTCTCTAAGAGAATTATGGTATGATTATGAAGAAGGGTTTGGATCATAGCGCAGCTCAGGCCAGAGAAAGGCACCCATTGCAAACTGTCTCTTGTGAGCCAAGTCACCCTTGGTAGACAACCCATACTCGGCAAGAAGCCGGTTGACCTTCCACTCAGGCATGTCCTGATAGTCCTTCTTGGTATATCTTGGGTAGTGGAGCGGCATCTTGAAGAAGCTCACGCTACCGTTGGTTTTCTGGCTTTCCATCGAGCTATCTCTTTTCTCTCTTAGCTAGCTTCTGTTTTGTGTTTTTAGGTGGCTCTGCTGTGGAACTTACTGTTGCTTCAGGAATTTTGAGATCCATTTATAGACTCTGTGAGAGAGATAGTTTGTACGTTCCTTGAGGCAGGTTGTAGAGGCATGATTAGAGCACTTCCAGCGGCAAGGGGAAGCCCGGGCAGGAGAGGGCCTAGGCCCACGTGATGGCTCCAGTGCGCAAAGGCAAGGTGTGGGGCCCACCAACCCGGGCAAATCCAGCTTGTGCTGCTGCTTGGACAAGTCACATAATACTGATGTCAGCAGTCAATTAAAATAAAAAAAAATCAAATAATACAGAATTTTTTTATTTTTTTATTTATAAATACCTAACCATATTCTTTACTTCCCACATCAAAACTAGGGTTTATGTATAAAAAAAATAAATCATCTAAAGTGAATAGTAATTGCCATTTTCCATGGTAATGGGTGAAAACACACTTTGCCTTTTGCGAGGGCTGACACTATTCATGTGAATAGTAACAGCATTTGCCTCCCCTTGTCCTTTACCATGACAAATGGGTGGAAGTGCTCTTAGGATTCACAACAATTGGTTGGCATACCTTCTCACAGCATAGTATTTACGTGTTGAATTTTTAGGTCGTGTGATACATTGGTACTTTTATTTTAAACAAAGTTTCAAGTTTTTATTTTTTATATTCAAAATAATAATAAAATTCATTAATTGGAAAACTTCACAATAACTAAATGGAGCAAAACAAAGTGTCCTCATTAAAACATTGTCATAGAAAACCCCCAAGGGAGAAAAATCCTAACAAACTGAGGAGGATTATACCGATAGAAACGGTAGATATATGGCCCCTACCCTGAAACTCACTCAACAAATGCAATCTCAGCTCTCAAAGTGACCCCATGAAAATTGATTATAAATCCAAAACTAGAGGTGCCAATAAGCAACATGTGTTCGAATAACAATCTCTAATTCCATATGATCATCATCCAAAACACAAAACCCACCACACAATAACACTGTAGGGCCTCCTGCATGGGATCGGATGGACCTCCCTCTTCTCAGCCACACGATGAGTTTGTGTGAACATTTTGAATGATTAAGAAGTGAACATATAATTGCAGGGCCCGGATTTGATACATTTGGGTATGAGGATCAAACATGAAATATGTGTAAGACTAAGAGTAAGAAGACTTCAGTCTAATATGTGTGGTGTCTAGGATCCGTATCAACAACCACTTGAAATAGTTACCACCTCTTGATTGTGGGGACTGGGGCCCCCTTAAATTCAATCATCAAATATGTATTCCTAGCCTCATGATTTGCTTACCTGAAATATGAACCCTACTTCGAAGCGTTGGACATGTCCTTCCAACCACATTATCCAAAATTACGAAGAAGAAAAAAAAATTAGGATGGTACGATTGTGTGTCCTACTATTTCAATCACGTCTGCTCATGACGTATTAATTTTTATAGAAATGGAAAAAGGCAAGACTCGCATTTGTGCCATATGTGTCCACATACAGGGCAAAGCGCTCTATAACTATAAAAGATCATACTTTCATGTAATAAGTTGATGGTGAGAATAAATTGTACGTATCTTGTTTCATTGAAGACTTTCTGTTTGGATTTCTATAGTGGGAATTCAAACAAAATGTGAACATTGTTTTGGTTCTCGTAACGAACGATTATCCATTCTCTCGTATTAGGGCCAAAAAAATTCATTGGGATGCTACTTCCCTTCTTTCCTGAAAGGGGACATTCCTATTTTCTATAAATCCATGTTTGACTCATATGCAAAAATAATTCATCAAAAATACAAAAAGAAAAATCTCTAAACACATTTCAAATTATGATTGGTATGAAAATCTCTAACTATACTCAAACATCAGTTCCTAGAAGGATTTACTATATTAATTTGACACTAGTTGCTCATTGTCCCGTCGTTGAATGGTGGTTATTTTACTGAAATTTTGGTTTAACTTTTCTTAGCGATGCATGGGATATGAATATGGACAAATTTTTTTATGGCAACATGAATTTATGTTACTACGTACCTCTGGACATATACTAATTTTCATGTGTTCATTCTCAAAGCTTGTATTTTCCACATCCACTGCTGCTGTGGAAGTTATACATTTATCTCATCCTTCCGTAAAGGAATTCTTCCTCATTTACTTTGCATGCAACTGTTTTCATTTCGTGGTTCTTTGTGGTGTAAAATTGGATATTTGACCCAATGAATCCCCGTATGTTTTGCAGCTGTGATGCAATCAGATGGGTACAAGCATCTAGAAGAGAGCTGCCCCTCAATGTTGCTGGAGTTGCTAGAGACATTTGCAGCAGTGGATGAGAGTTCAAGTCTTCTGTCAAGTAGGAAGAGGAGTGGCAGCAGCATATATGGGCTAGACTTGCCAGCAGATGGTGGCGGGGCTGTAGCAGAATCAGCAAATCCCAATGGAAGGCGTGTGAGGCGGCGGTATTAGTGTATGTAGTTAACTTTAGGCGCCACAAACCTGAAAGGAGTGGTCTTAGGAACAAAACGGTAGCTATGAATGGCATGCGGATAATAGTCACTTATCATTTCCCATTGTGTTGGACACTCCTTGTATAAAGTTTCGATGTCATTTCCTTTGTTATATCAGGTTTGGTGGGGGGGCTCTTTTGGAAGTGAACTGAGATTTGAATGTGTTACATTGTGCTTCATGTAGAATTTGTAGGTAGACTGTCATTTTGAACGGAATTATATTATTACAGAAATGGCTCTAAATATCTTGGGTCTGAGTGTTGAAGTTATCTTTCTTTTATTCAATTTTTGTTCTACATTTTGTTGAAATAACACCCCCTTCTGAGATCTTTGGTTTACTGAGAGTTGTTATCCTTGATTATTTTAAGTGGAAATTCTTTGTTTTTGTGCACAGTTTTGATAGGATAGGGAACTAAGGTGGCTTTACTAGTTGAAAATGAATTCAATATTAGATTTATTTCGGTAATTTTTTTCTTCCTCTTGAGTTCATTTGGGCTACTAAAGTGAATGCACTATTGTAATTGGAAACAAAATTCATCACTCAATTTAGGAAAAAAAGAACTAGGAGAAGATCTGATATTATGCAGAATACATAAAAGGTGCTTCATTTCAAAAGTAGGTGCTACAAGAAGTAGCAAGCTAGCTTTTTGAACTTTTTTTTTCTCTAAGAGAATTATGGTATGATTATGAAGAAGGGTTTGGATCATGGCGCTGCTCAGGCCAGAGAAAGGCACCCATTGCAAACTCTCTCTTGTGAGACAAGTCACCCATGGTAGACAACCCATACTCGGCAAGAAGCCGGTTGACCTTCCACTCAGGCATGTCCTGATAGTCCTTCTTGGTATATCTTGGGTAGTGGAGCGGCATCTTGAAGAAGCTCACGCTACCGTTGGTTTTCTGGCTTTCCATCGAGCTATCTCTTTTCTCTCTTAG